GGAGAAGCTCGGGACAGCCAGAACAACAACGCAAACCTACGAAAGCTCTACAGACCATTCCTTGTGGACTAGCAGCTTCCTCTCCTCTGCCATACGAAACGTGAAACAACCGCTGGTACCCTTGCATTCCAGACGTCTGAAGGACCCCCTCCTCCCTTCCAGGCCTGCCCACCCTCTCAGATCACCCAGTGAGGACAAAGGATCCCATCAGGGACCGCAAGCAGAAACCACTGGGGAAGGCTCTCGGAGGCAGCCACGCCACAGGGAAGCTGCCACTCCTCTGGACAATTCTTGAGCAGAGTGACTTAAAATATCCAGAGAAACAGGGGGAGCAAGAGAGAGAGAGCTGTGTTTCAAACTCCATTTACGAACAAGAGGTACACTTTGCAGCCCACAGACAATACACCAACACGACATTTCTCACCTCGTCACTGTTGAGTTTTTTTGATTTCGTTGTTCTCTGTGATTTATCTTCGTCTGATCCCTCATCGCTGTCTGAAGAATAAATCCGAGCACGCTCTTCTGAAAGGGACAATAAGAGGGATGACTTGCCAGCATTCAGGCCAGGAACATTATTGCGCTAGAACAGCTGGCTGCAGCTCAGAAACCCATCCATGTAAAATCTGTTCAAACAGAACAAGCCGGGAGTCTACAAGAACCACAAGCCACCCACCCAACTTGGCCAAAGAAATGAGCTGTCTTTTCTGAAGGCTCTGCTCACTGCATTTCGGTGCTGACCTCCCTCTTTGGCAAAGCCCAAAGCAGCTTTTAAAAACCGTCCGCTGGATTTGGTTCAGGCGGTCTGAGTTGCAGCAAAAGCCTACCTCTGATCCCTCCTTTATATCTGTTCTTGATGGCTGCCAGGCTGATGGCTTCTTCCCCTTCCTCCTCCTCCTCGTACCGATCCGTCTCCAAGTAGCTGGCGTTCAGTCCCCGCTGGTGCTGCTTCTCCCGCATCCTCCTCTGCTGGGACTCTCGGCGGATGGACGCTCGCAGCCTCTCCTCTTCTTTCTGGGGTGTCAGGAAAGAGGACAGCAGGATGTGCCAACGGAAGGAAGCACAGAGCTTTTGTAAGGAGGGCTCGGATCAGATCAGGAAAAGGTAGCTTTCTAGGGTTAAAACATTAAGCGGCCAGGGGATTCTGGGAGCTGTAATCCAGAAGAAAATTTCTCACACTTTGTCTTAGATTTTGCCACGCACTTTTCTTGATGCAGTTAAGGCATCTTCCAGTGTCTCCAGACCCCCTGCTACTCTTTTGATGCTTTGGGCCTAATTCTATGGCAGGCATGGGAGGGGAAAACAAGAGGTGGGAGGGTGGGTCTTACCCACTTGCTTTGTTACTTTTCTCTCTCTTTTTAAAAAAAGAGACCTTTCCCTACTTAAAAGGCAAATTCTGACCCTCTCCCCCTGCCTACCCCAAATTCAAACCCAAACGGGTACCTTAATCATTTCTGTGCGCTGGGACTCTGGATCGCGACCAGCCATGGGCAAAATGCGGATTTTCTGAGTCTTTGAACATCTGTCTGCTAGAGAAAGAGTCATCTTCCTGTGGGTGGCACTGTCTGTGGAGTGAGGCCTGTTGGGGAAAGGGTCACTGCCTTAAAACACACTTTTCAGGGAACCTCCAGATAAAGGAAACATACAGCATTAATAGAGTATTATTTTGAAGCAGTTTACACTTAAAAAAAGAAATCAAAAAAGGAAAATGGGCAGAATCCACCATTAAAAGTTCCTTTTTCATTCAGAAGAGCAGCGGCCACATTGAGCCAGTCTGCCCTTGACCACGTAATAAAGTAGGCCATCTTGCCCCTTGTTTCACGTTGGCCACCATTCCATGCTTGGAAATCTGAACCATCCACACGCGTACCTGAAGGTTAGCTTTGTCTTGAACACCGCCTGGCCTTGCAGACCGGTTCCCTGCCTGATGAAGAGGTGGTTGTGGTCGCCCTGCAGTGGAGCCTTGTACACATCGAAGACCTCGTTCCCCAAGTGCAGAGACATGCTGCAAGAAGAGAGGAAGGCGAGAGCCCAGGGGACTGGCTTGCAACTGCCGCAGAGGAACGAACGGTCCTTCCACGAAGCCGGCCAACCCCCACCTTAGATGCCCATCACCGTCACCCCCACCCTTTTCAAGTGGAGCACCTTCTCTCTCCGATCCCATCCCTTGGTGCCTGGGCTGGTTTTAGGCAGCAAACAGGATGGAAGCAGCCTGCCCCCCCCTTTTTTTACTGCCTATTTTATACAAGTAACACAGGAAATATAACCTGGTCATATAACTCACCTCCCGTCAGACCATTTGACAATTCGTGCGTTGCTTTCTCGGATCTCGCTTCCTTCGTCATCTCGGCGAGTTCGCCAGCGGATCGTGTTCTCGACCTGTCAGGATAAAAAGATGTCAGCATGCAGAAGAATTCCTTCACACAGGATTGGGGCTCGAGTGTTAACAAAGGGCAGGCCTAGACCCAGGAGTCCTTGTCAGGATGCAGGGTCGGGTGGGGGTGGAATTGACAACCTTACCTTCAGTTTTAACCTTGTTCTGCCTTCTTCGTCCAGCATCTCCTCATCTTCAAACTCATCCTCATAATACTGAGGATCAAAAGGCCTGTAAGAGAATTAAAGCGCAGGAGGGTAAAAGCAGCCATGCTATTCCATTCACAGTCAAAGGGGCTTTGGGTGCTAAGCTCCACAAAGCAGTTTTAAGGCTTAGCCTCCAGACCCGGCTCTTTCTGCCTGAGCCAGGTGGGCAGAAAGCCTTCTGTCTTCCCACCTGCAGCCCTTTCCTTCCCCTGAATTCCATCTCCCTCCCTCATCTCATAGACCAGCTCCCCACCCCCCTTGCACGATGCCTTCCAGGTGTGTGGGACTACAATTCTCATGATCCTTGGCCAAGGATGACCTGAATTACAGACCAAAACATCAGAGCGCGAATGAGGCTGCTACAAGTTTTACACCTGAAGTCAAGCAGGAACGCTTGTTTTGGTCATCAGTCACCTCATGGGTGTTCTTTATTTATTTATCTTGTACCTGGGCTCCACACTGAGGAAATTGGGAAGCTTCACAAAATATAAGTCATTTCCTAAGTCAGTGTTCACTTTTGGAATTTCAACTTCTATTCGTGTTTCTGGAATAGGTTCCTCCTCCTGCTGGTCCTCATTCAGCCCATTCTCATCCTAATGAAGAGGAGGTTAAAAAAAGAAAAAGAAAAGAAAAACAACACATAAGGAATAAAGATTTTTTTTGTATTTGATACACCCAGTTTAGAATCTGTGTGCATGTAACTGACCCCAGAAAGAGTATGTGTATGTGTCTTTAAGAACTGCTCCTAGATTTGTCCGTTTCCTCTTTCCCCCTTCTATTTTTTCTTTTGTCTTGCGTGTTTTCAAGCCTAAACCTTCAAGCATGGATGTGTCTGGTTTTGTTTAGCCTTTGCAGCTCTCAGAACTGTTACTAATGACAGAGAAAGAAAGCAAACTTAAGGAACTTTAAGGAATAATCAACCTTATTTTTTAACTTTCACATTTTAACAAGGTACCATGAATGTTCACAAACTGGGTCATGGCATATATTGCAATGAACAAAACACCATCAGCTGAAGGTACCACAGCTCTTTTGCCAGACACTGCAGACAGCAGCTTTAATACTAATTCCTGAAAAATCAACACACTGCCACAGAGGGCGATGGGAAACAGGGCCATTTCATCAACCCTGCTGAAACCTTGGCTCACTCAGACCTGGTCTTTGCCCTGAGCCATTTCTGAGCTGGTGGTGGTTACCGCCTGGCCCCATTCTGAAGGCAAAGAGAGAGGTACTCACAATTGGCTGCCCCGGCGTTGGGGGCTTGTCTTCCCCATCGCTTCCCGAAGAGATGTCATCTGCTCCTCCAAACAGATCCATGGCATCCCTATTATCTTACACAGAGAGAATAAGCCAGAAGTGTCACCACGTTACCTCCTCTCCAAACGGACCAAGCAAGTTGGAAAGGGAAGTTGGAACTGCACTGGCAATTTTTTTAAAGTCACCATATACAGATAAGTGTCATACAATATGCAAGAACACAAACACAATCTTTTATGTCATCTTGCATCCGGAAACAAAGATGTACGTTGTGTTGAAAAAAAATCAAAGAGCTAAGATAGAAAAGCCAGGGAGAGTAAGAGGTAGATGCCAAATGGGGGACTCAGATCCCAATTCAGACTCAAAGCTCACCGGGCATTGCCAAGCCAAGTCTCTTGGTCTCAGCCCCACCTACCTTGCTGTAAGGAATTAAAGGACCATTTTGAATTGCAATGTTGTCCTGCCTTCCCTTCCAGCAGCTCCAGGTGGTGTACCTGGCCTTGCCCCAGTGTGTCTGAGGAGGCTGCAAGATGACAAATGCCTCCTTGAAGGAAGAACAGAAGAGCCACCCTGAAGGCGGGAGGCGGCACCACTTACCTTTCTGCCCTTCCGCATCACTATCCATTTCAGAATCTGATGAAATCTGCTTCTTACGCTTCATGGGTGGCACTTCGTCATCACTGTCGCTGCCTCGTGCGGATTCTGAAAGGAAATCCTTGTGTTTAGGCATTCAGAAGGAATTCCTGCAGGGCCTTCAGGGTGAGCTGACCCCCCAATCAGCCTCAGGCAACCAGCAATGATGGCAGTGTTAATCCAACACCCCCCGAGGGTCCCCCGGTTGGCACAGGCCACGCCACACCTTCACACGCCTGCCCTACCCTACCAGATTTATGCTCATGCTCCTCCTCATCCTCGGAGAGCCTGCGCTCCTCCTCGTCTGAGTGCTGGGGCCTCTCGTCATCTGAATTCTGCATCTTCTCTTCATCAGAGTGCTGCGGCCTTTCATCCTCGTCTTCCGAATTCTGTCCGTTCTCCTCGTCCGAATGCCGAGGCCTTTCGTCTTCATCGGAATTGGGCAGTCTTTCCTCATCCGAAACCAGGGGCTTCTCTTCGTCCTCTGAGTTGTGCGTTTTCTCCTCATCGGAGTGGTCCAACCTCTCCTTAGGGTCAGGCACAGCAGCTCTCTCCTCGTCCTCAGAGTTCTTCTCCTCGTCCGAATGCTGGAGCGGCTCTTCGTCGTCTGAGTTCTGCAGCTTCTCGTCATCCTCGGACTGATCGCTTTTGTCTTCCTGTCCCCACCTCTCGTCCTCCGAGGGCACCTTTTCAGATCCTTCTGCCTCGGAGTGGTGGCTCCCTTCATCTGAGTGATGGTCCTCATTCTCCTCTTCATCCTCACCGTGACCCACTTCTGACCCACTGTGTTGCTCGACATCTGACTGGTCGTGGTCCTCACGGTCAGAGTGTCCCGAGCCTTCGGACTGATTGTAGGACTGTTCCGACGGATTGTCGCTGCCGCTGTGGTGAGAGGCGCCATCGTCCTCGCTATCGTCACCAAACAATTCTTTATTGCTGGGTTTTAAAGCCTCTCGGGCATCTTCTCTGTCGCTCTCGCTCCCAGAAATGTTACTGACGGAGCCTGCGTTCTCTTGGTCTGAATCCGACTCAGAGCCAGAGTCTGAATCTGTGAAATAAGGGAATACTCACAATATTAACTGTTGGGGGTGTGTGTGTGGGCGAGTGACATTGCTCTGCAAAAACCCAAACGCCCCATTTTGTTGCCACGCTTTTCCTCCAACCAAAATTAACCGAGGCGAGCGCCGCAGATGCTACTTTCCTGCGCCAGTCCGTGGCAGGGGGGCACC